GAACCAGGAGGCCAGAGGCGGGAGCCTGTACTCACGTTGATGTCGGCGCCTTTCAGCAGCAGGAATTCTAGGATCTCCAGCTGCCCGCAGTCAGCGGCATAGTGCAGAGGCTTCCTCCCGCCCTCCAGCGTCCGGTTGACGTCCTCCCCCTGCAAGAGAAGGGGACAGCGTTGACCTCTATGCTGGACTGCCAGGCAAGCCAGCCACCCAACGATTCCCTTCCTTAAAGCCCCACAAATTGCGTGAAACACAGTTTGTGCCCAAACACACACACGAAAACCAAACTCCCTGCCCTCGAGTTGACGGTGACCTCCGAGGGCAGGTGGAACTGCCCCTGTGAGTTTCTGAGACTGTCACTCTTTACGGGAGCTGAAGGTCCCGTCTTTCTCCTGTGGGGCAGCTGGTGGGTTCTATGGTGGGTCACAGCCCAGTGTGTAGCCACCACACTAGCTACCAGGGCTCCTACAGTTTGTGTCCAGGGACATGATACTTGACCAAACTCGAAACTGCACCAGTGACTGCTGGGTGTGACAGTCATCAAATAGGACTGGACACAACAATGGCAAATGGCACCAGGGAGACTGGCCGAGAGCCAGAATCGACCCGATGGTACCTAACCACCAAGGAGATGGGTGACCTTGAAAACCAGGGTCTGACGTGGTTTGTGGAACATGTCTTTTCACTTTCCAAAGCGACAGGTCTTAGATGAAGTTAGCCACCGCACTCCGCTCAGCTGAGTGTCAGCCAATGGGAATCCATCTTGTTCATCCAGCAAAAGCTTCCACAGGCCCTCCTGTGGGCCAGGCAACATGAGGGGCAGTGGGGAAGAGGGTGTGTACAAGCCGACAGGGGTGCAGATGTCAGACAGTGGTGTCATCAGCAATCGCACAGCTAAATATGCCATCTCAAACATGAAAGGGGCTGTGAACAGCAGGAGTTGGGGCCATACAAATCAGCTCTCAGAAGGCCTCGGGTGTGGGTGGGATAATCCCAGAAAACAAGCCCTCCAAAAGGTGGCTCATCAGCCGAGGATTCAGACTAACTACCACCTGGACCTCCAGCGGATCTGTAATCACATGTGTGCTCAGGGCCACAGGCATCATCAGCTACATCTGTAGAAAAACCACACATACACT